CCAAGCTCCTGACTGTGCCGTGGACCCCTGGTGGCGGTCCGCGTACATAACACACCCATCCGCCCCGCCAGCCGCCCTTTGGCAGGTGTTTCATTTTGTGTCCCCTCTCTGTCCACGACAGGCTTGCGCCACCGCAGCGATGCACCCCACTTACTACGTCCACGTCAAGGGCCAGGTGTTGGCCACCTGGAAGCCAGCCCGAGGATGGTAGAAAGGCTTGGAGGAGAACACTTTCGGCTTGGCCAGGAGAAGGGATTTTCAGAAGAAAGGTCGACGCGGCCTCCGGATGCAGACTGTTGGAGTTCGGCCAGGCTGGTTGGAACCACTAAAAATTGTGCTTGCATCCAATCTTCGACTCTTAGGAATGGAGAGTATTCCTTGCAGGCGCATCTGGGTGGTCTAGGAACTAATCAAACACTCCTCTCCACTGCTCTAGCACAGCACCTTCAAACAATGAATAGATAATGTCATAGAATCAGATTCTTGGAGGGGTTCGGATCTCGAGGGTCATCTAGTCCAACCCCCTGCACAATGCGGGAAATTCACAAATATCTCCCCCCCACACGCACCCCTAGTGACCCCTGCTCCATGCCCAGAAGAGGGGGGAAAATCCTCCAGGATCCCAGGCCAAAATGGCCTGGAGAAAAATGGCTTCCTGACCCCAAAGCGGCGATCGGCATTTCCCTGGGCGCGTCAGAAAGGGCCACGAGAACTAAGCACTGAGGCAGCCCTTCCCGCCCTCCCTTCTCACGCTCTGCTGTCAGCTAAGCTGCCAATAGTGTGGTGTGTGTTTCCCTTTCATGTGCATTCTTTCCCTTGCGTTTAATTGCCTCTTCGCTGCAACGCATATCTCTCAAGGCCACTGGAGGAGTTGATGTGTCTCTGCACAGAAAGAGTCGTGGGAAGCTTCTTACCGGTTTTGCTTTTGCAGCCGTTAGTTCTCAGACTACTGCCTTGGCGTGGGAACCCCTGTAATTGGGTACTCCGTGGAGGAGGGTGTATACAAAAACCCTGTAA